CTTTTCTTTTCTTTTCTTTTCTTTTCTTTTCTTTTCTTTTCTTTTCTCTTCTCTTCTCTTCTCTTCTCTTCTCTTCTCTTCTCTTCTCTCCTTCCTTCCTTCCTTCCTTCCTTCCTTCCTTCCTTCCTTCCTTCCTTCCTTCCTTCCCCTTCCCCCTTCCTTCCTTCCCCTTCCCCCTTCCTTCCTTCTCCCTTCCCCCTTCCCCCTTCCCCTTCTTCTTTCCTTCAAGACAGTGTTTTCCCATGTTGCTCAGGCTGCCCCTCAGCTTGCTGTGTAACTGAGGATGTCCTGGACTCCTGATTCTTCCATCTCCATCTCCCAAATGCTGAGAGTACAGGCGTGCATAGTCATAACCAGTTTATAGTATTATTTATAATTGTTTCATAAGTTTTTTCTGTGCATTGTGTTGAAACTATATTAACATATAGTTTCATGAAGCTTATCATAGCAAAAGAGTTAAGTAGGAAAAAATCTAAAATGTCATATATGATGTTTATTTTGATGTTGGTTATTTTTAATTTATATTTTATCAGTTAAAGTATATCTGTAATGGGTTTAGAAAAATACAACAAAATCTGTAGCTGTGCACAAGAGTTATAAAAAAGTTTTTAATTGAGATGAAATTGAATGGCTAGGCATGTATGGTGAGGTAGTAATCCAGCACTCTAGACACTAAGGCGGAGGCTCATGAGGCTGGGGTCAACCTGAGTTATTTACAGCAATATCCTGTTTCGAGATCTGTGAGTGGACTCTAACCTTGTTAACATTTATTGCCTCACTTTGTAGCTTCAATGTATAAACCATGTGTACAATCCCTTTTGGATAAATTCTTAGCTAGTGTAATTTATCTGACCTATTGCAATGTATCTTCACCTTTGTAGACACATGCCTGGACATACAAGTAGAGAAGTCCTAATCATCTTCAGCAGCCTTACAACTTGTGATCCATCTAATATTTATGATCTCGTCAAGGTAGGACCAAAGCTGAAGTTAGGCTCTAAAGAAAATTCTGCAGTAAAATTATCACTAGTTGTCAAGGTTATTATTCGTAAATATTTTTCTTTTTCTCCTGAAATATTTCATGTTTTTGCATCTTATGAAGACCCTGAAGACAGCTAAAATTAGAGTGTCTATTATTGGATTGTCTGCGGAGGTTCGAGTTTGTACTGTACTTGCTCGTGAAACTGGTGGTAAATATCAGTTGTCTTCGGTAATTATAATTACTTTGTAAGAAATAATTTGTTAATTAAGTAGGATGTTTTACACCATTGAACGTAAACCATTTTATGTCTGTAGACCAAAATGTAGCTGTAATTTTAAACATCATTGATTTTTCTGAGCAAGCATTTAAAATGCAAGGAATTTTCAATAGGTCAGTGTTTTAGAGTTTCAAACACTTAGTAATTTCACTATATGTAATAATTTGTAAAGATTATGTAGCTTGGATTTAATTTTAGTTGCTATTATGCCTAGAGAAGCTGATTGAGAGATTTAAATTAAATTATTTTTAAGTAATAATTTACTTTAAATGGTTATGAAATTATGTTTTCATCTGATGAAACGTTCATAGAGTTACACGGAAGTGCTTGTCTTTAAGATTGTTGTGTTTTGCTTTTGCTTGTTAGGCACATACCATGTTATCTTAGACGAAACCCATTACAAAGAGTTGTTAGCACATCACGTGAGCCCTCCTCCTGCCAGCTCGAGCTCCGAATGCTCACTTATTCGAATGGGTGCGTGTCTCTTCTGTGTTGCTTTAAATGTGTGCCTTTGATTTAAACTAGGCATTCTATTTTTATTTGTGTAAGTTATTATTTTAACATTTAAGAATCTTCTTACTTAAATCCTTTATAATTAAAATAATAATGCGTGTTTATAAAGAGAATTTTAAAGCTACCCACAATCCTGTCTATTGTATAAAAATACTTTTGGCTTTGTGGTTAAGCCAGAAAGATATGAAGATATTGTATTTAATGAAAAATACTTGTGGTAAGAAATTTTTTTTTCCTCTTCTCTCTCTCTCTCTCTTTTTTTTTTTTTTTTGGTTGTTTTTGAGACAGGGTTTCTTTGTTGGCTATCCTGGACTTGCTTTGTGGACCAGGCTGGCCTCAAACTCACAGCGATCTTCTTGCCACTGCCTTCCTGAGCGCTGGGATTAAAGGTGTGCAGCATCATGCCTAGCTGAAATTTCTTAGATAAGCTACAAAATCTTTTTTTTTTCCTTATTTTTTTTTTTTTTTTACCGAGACAGGGTTTCTCTGGGTCTTGGAACACACTTTGTAGACCAGGCTGGCCTCGATCTCACTGAGATCCACCTGCCTCTACCTTCCAAGTGCTAGGAATAAATGTTTGAGTCACTATACCTGGCATTTAAAATAATTTTGGTTTTTCTTTATTTTCTAAAAAAATTATAACAAACACATACTATATTGATGTGCTTAGAAGGTATAACTTTTTCTTTTTAAAACATTTAAAAATCATCTTGCTTAATTTGTTTTTTAAAATGCCAGTGAAATGAAATGCTTTTCTATGTTTGTTTTGGCCATTTTTGAACTAGTAACTCTTCTTCCTGTGTTTTTGTAAACTATTTTAGTATATACTTGTGTGTTGGGAAGATTGAGTTAATATAAATGAAGTATTTAGAATAATTCTTTTTTTTCTTTTTTCTAGACAGGGTTTCTTTGTCTAGCCTTGGTTGTAGACCAGGCTTGCCTTGAACTTACAGAAATCCACCTGCCTCTGCCTCTCAAGGTGTGCACCACCACTGCCTGCCATATTTTGATAATATTTATGCCCTATTTCTTCCTCTAATCCCTCCCATATCTACCCCCTCAAATTTTAAAATTTTAAACAGAAATATGTGCTTAGATAAAGAAAAGCTATATCATGTAGTCCATATTTGGTTGTATCAGAAACTGCATAAAATATGTGAACTGTTTCTTTTTCAGTGCAGTATTATTAAATTAAAAATATATTTATACATTTTGGATGTGAGGTCAAATGTGTAGATAGATCCTTCCCCCCTTTCCTCTAGTTTTTCTTATACCTTGGAATTAGAGTTTCATCATACTGTGTTAGGCACATATCTACCTAAAAGTCAGGAAAAAGCTTTTATCAACTTTGTTTACGTTCTGGTAGGGATAGTTTAGATTCATAGTCCTAAAATTCTGTTCTTTGCCTATAAAAAGAAATTAATGCTTTGATTTTTTTTAATCTGTTAAGGATTCCCTCAGCATACCATTGCGTCTTTGTCTGATCAGGATGCAAAACCATCCTTCAGCATGGCGTAAGTAAAGAACAACTGTCAGTGGTAATCTTTTAACATTTAAAATCCTTTCTCTAAGTTTTAACTTAAATCGAAGGTTTCAAAATGTAAGGATGTTTATAAACTAATACCATCTACATAGCTATTAAATGAAATGACCCTCTTTATATATGTCCATGCTGTGAATGTCAGAATATATTACTAAATAAAATGGCAAGGAGCAAGTGCATAGCATATTACCAGTCATCTAAGTTAAAGGTGTGTGTTAAGGTATAAACCAGCATGCCTGTCCTTACCTGTAATTCTGGGGCTCAGGAGCCTACGGCAACGTGATAGTTTTAAGTTTGAGGTCACTTTGGGTTATAGGATATATTTATAAAAGCTATAAATAGATAAAATAAAAAATGCAGATATTAGCAGATGATTAGTAGATATATACATGTTTATTAGTAGATATATACATGTTTATTCTAATAATAAAAAATAATGGGATATAAATAAAAAAAAATTCACCTTGCTGGGTGCTTGGGTAGCTTAGTAAGACTCTTGTAGAATAAAAAGGGAAAGCAGGGCCAGGCATAGAGCTGAGTGGAAAGTACTTAACTCTCTGCATAAGGTCGAGGTTCATTTCTCAGTTGCACAAAAAACATTTGATAAAACCTATAATAATGGGGCCAGTTAGGTTAGTGGTTGATCTAGACCAGACTAATGATGCTTAGAACAAATTTTGAATAGATAATAAGTTACTTTATTCTAAAACAAAGCTGTGAATATTTATGGAGAAAAAATTAGCACCTAGAACAACATCATTTTTAATATCTGACAGCAAGCTGTGCTGTCAGCACATGCCAGCACTTCGGGAAGAGAAAGGAGGATCATAGCAAATTTAAGGCTGGTTTGGGTTATATAGAGACAGTGGGAAGAGAGGGAGGCAGGGAAAGAGAGAGGGAGGAAAGGAAAAAAGGAGATAGGGGAAGGAGGGTTGGAGAAGGGGGTTATAGAGAAAATATGAAAAAATGAGAATAACAGAGGAAAAACTACAGAAGGAAAGCTGCTGGAAAACACTTGCTAGAGTTAGTAGATGACAGTATTAAAATACTATATAAGTCTGTAAGTGAAGGAGAGCTTGAAAACAATTCAGAAGGATTCATCTCAAACCATGATGTATGAGATGAGAAGTACGCTGGAGGGGCTGAAGATATGGCTCAGTTAAGATTATATAATATTCCACAGGACCAAAATTTGGTTCCTAGCAGCTACACTGGACTCACAGCTGTCTGTAACTTTAGGTCCAGGGGATCTAACACCTCTGTATCTAAGGTTACTTCTATACATGTGGACATACTCTGGCCCCTCCCCAGAATTAAAAATAAAATGAATTTGAAAAGAAAAGAAAAGAAAAGAAAGGAAAAGAAAAGAAAAGAAAAGAAAAGAAAAGAACAACACACTGGATGAGACCAGAAGGTTAGTCACCAAAAAAAAAAAAAAAAAAAAATAGTGAATTCAAAGACAGGAAGGGAAACTTTAGAAGTAAAGACAGAAAAAACAAAAAACAAAACAAGACATACATGTTTTCCAATAAAATTTTATTTATTTTATTTTGTTTTATGTCTTATCTTTTGAGAAAAGGTCTTACTATGTAGCTCTGGCTGGACCTCACTATTAGACAAGGCTGGCCTTAAACTCACAGTGTTCTGCTTCTGTGAGTACTGGGATTGAGTTACATACTTTTTTTTTTTTTTTTCGAGACAGGATTTCTCTGTGTAACAGAGCCCTGACTGTCCTGGACTCAATTTGTAGACCAGGCTGGCTTTGAACTCATAGAGGTCTGCCTGCCTCTGCCTCCTGAGTGAATGCTACCATGCCCGGCATTACAGACTTTCATTAGCTCTTTTCACCTTTTAAAAATAACTTTCTTCTTCCACAGGCATTTGGATAATAGCACTGAGCCAGGGCTTACATTGGGAGGCTATTTCTGTCCACAGTGTCGGGCAAAGTACTGTGAGCTTCCTGTTGAATGTAAAATATGTGGTAAGAACCCTATTCTTCTTTACTGAATAAATTAGCATTAAATAACTAATAGCTGTATAGCTGCTAAAATAAGCAGAAATATAAGTTTCTTTTTTCATTGAAGGCCCAGTAATCCATTTCTAAGAATAAACAGCATTATAGAAGTTTTTTGATTCTCTTTCTGATAAATGTTATCTTTAAAAGCACTGTAATAGATTTAATAGACATTTTTGGCTCTTACGTTTATAGAATCATTATATATGAGGAATTAATATAATTCTAAGATCTTCTTTCATTTATAAATAAGCAAATTGTTTTCTAAGTGGTCATGCGGTTAGTGACAAAGTAAATTCTATCCTGAAATCTCTTTTTATGGCTATAGGTAAAAAACACTCAGGGTCCTAAAAATGCTTGAGTGCTGGATATGTAGCATAGTGGCAGCTTTTCTAGGTGTGTGTGAGGCCCTGGATTTGATCCCCTCACTAGAATAGACATGAAAACACCTTAAAGTATTTTTTCTAAGTATATTATTTGACTTTTTAGCCATTGTCTTTGTGAAGTTAGGCTTATTAATATTTCTGTCTGTTCATTAGGTCTTACTTTGGTGTCTGCTCCTCATTTGGCACGATCTTATCATCATTTATTTCCTTTGGATGCTTTTCAAGAAATCCCCCTAGAAGAATATAAAGGAGAAAGGTATATGAATTTTGATAAATTTATATGTTACAGTGATAAACTAATGATTTATGAAATAGTTATCACTTTAAAGTCATATTAATTTGTAAAATTTCTAATCTAGAAAATGAGATATGGAATACTCTGTGTTTCTAGCAATCTGTTTATTTCTCTAAATTCACATACTTGTATTTAAGAGTGATGGTATATTGGTTTGGTGGGGGGTGGGGTGGGGGCTAGAAAGGTGGCTTAGTGGTTAGGAGTGTTTTCAGCTGTCAGTAGTTTAACAACCAGCCCCAAAATTTCTGAATGCCTAACAGCTGTCCCTCTTGAACATCACTGAAGAGAAGAGGCTAGCTTAGCATAATCTAGTGATTGTTTTCTTAATAATCTGTGATTATTTTCTTAATGTTATTTGTGTGACATGTCCAGTAGTAAAACCTGAAGGAGAAGTAGGCAGTTGATTTTAGATTTTTAGGAAATAAATCTTTACTGTTTCCAAGAGCATCAGCATATAGGAACCTTTGACCACCAAATAATTATGTATCTATTCATCATTTTTCCCACTTAAAGATAGTGTAGAGGAAATATATGCTGATGGAGAGATGGCTCAGTGGGTAAGGATATGTACCATGCAAGCGTGAAGATTTTCCTTTGGATATCCAGCACCCACATAAAAAATGCTGGACATAGCCTTCTATTCTTGTAATTTCAGTGTTGGAAGGCAGAGTTAGGAGAATCCCAGGGGTTCACTAGCTAGCTACCCTAGCCATTCAGTGAGCTCCAGGTTCAATGAGAGACACTGTTGATTTGTTTGTTTCATTCTTTCTAAGATTGATTTATTTATTGTGTATACAGTGTTCTGTCTGCATGTACACCTGCATGCCAGAAGAGGGCACCAGATCTCATTATAGATGGTTGTGAGCCACTGTATGGTTGCTGGGTATTGAACTCAGACTCTCTGGAAGGGCAGCCAGGGCTCTTAACCTTTGAACCATCTCTCCAGCCCCGAGAGATAAAATCGAGAATAAATAATTAATTAGAGAATGATTGAGGAAGCCATCCTATATCAACCTCTGGCCTCTGCATGAATGCACACACATATACTACATATGCAAAAGAAGTAATTTCAAACAATCATGTCTAGATTAGCCTTGTTTTTCAAATTGCATCATATTTCAAGGATGTATTATTATGGCTTGCCTAACTAGTTTTCTCCTATTGAATATTTAAGATTATTTCTTTGCTGTTATAAGTATCTCTTAATACTTGTGCAAGAATATGCTGACAAATTCTCAGGTAGAATTGCTGAGTCAGAAGTTATATGAGTTTTGGTAGAGGTTGTAAAGTTGTTCTTTAGAGAGGCTTCATATATTATTTATCCATACTTCATTGATACTAGATATGAAAGTTTCTTTTTTTTATATTGGTTCAAACTGACAAGTTAAAACCAAAGTTGCATTGTTTCAGGTTGCATATAAGTGTGAAGTTAATGAAAAACCCAGTAGATGGATTAGAAGATAGAGTTGAAGAAATATGCCAGAAAGTAGAATAAAAGGTGTAATGAGGAGTAAATAGGAGAGTTAAAGATGAAACAGATGAATATTTATAGAATTGATATAGAAGGCCCACTGTGAGGATAACATGATAAAGAAAGATATATTGTAGAGTAGGAAATCGTTGAATAGTTCAAGGAAAATATTTTTCTTTTATAAAACATAATTTTCTACACAATTGTGAAAGTTCAAAATACACAGCAAAATGCTAACACTGTTAGCCACACTAGTGCTAACCAGAACATTTACCCTTAGATTTGGAGGGAAAAGTATAATTGACTTAAATTGTATCCCCATGTAAGCTGTTGGTTTTGTTTATGAAGACGTAAAGATGTTTTCAGAGTTGTGAGGTCTCAGAAAGACTCTTCTGAGGGAGGGCTGGTCCAGTTCATAAAGGCACCTGCCACCAAGCCTGATAACCTGAGTTCCGTCCTGAGGACCATATGGTGGAACTGACTCTCACAAGTTGTCCATATGCATGGCATAGCACACAAGTGTCCACACACATACACACAGAGATAAATAAGAATTGTGTAACAAAAAAAGAGACACTTTAGGAGAAGTTTTGGAAGAAGTAGGACAGAGAAGAACATAGGATCTGAGGATGTGCCTCCAACTTCTTTCTAAAAGGAGAAAATGAGGCGTTAAGGAGATGGGTCCAGTTGGTCCGGTGTTTTCCTGTTCCCCAGCACTCAGGTGAAATAAATGCTGGGCCTACATTGTGTTCCTATAGTCTTAGCACTGGGATTGCAGGGATGCAGAGGATTCCTGGGGCTTGCTGGCCAACTAGTAGCCAATCAGTAGCTCTAGGTTTAGTAAGAAACGTTATCTCAAAAGTAAGTTTAAATTGGGTAAAACAAATCAACAATAATATGGAGACTAATAGAAAACGACATCAGGGTACTGACCTCTGGCTTCCACATGTGCCTGCGCATGCACTGTTACATGCACATTCCACACACATGGACATGCATTTTACACAGAAAGAAAGGAGAAGTTACAGCATATGACTTGTCATAGCTGAAATACTTATATGTGTAATAAACTAAACAGTGAATGTTGTTTTGTACAAGTTGATTTAATTATATAGAAATACGAAAGCTGGGCCGTGTTGGCACACAGCAGGTGGCTTTCTCTGAGTTCAAGCCCATCCTGGTCTACCCAATGAGTTCTACGTCAGTCAAGGCTACACAGAAAAAATCCTGTCTCAAAGAACTAAACCAAAACCAAAACAACAAAACAACAACAGAAAGAAAGTAAAGAAGAAATAGTGATATTACTTTTATACATATACACATTGTTAGGTCAAGAAGGTTAAAAGAGAAATTTGTCCGTAGTTGGAGGTTCACAGCTAGTGCTTATAAAGAGTTAAAACTGCACACATACAAGTGTGTCCACTAATTTTTAAAAAATGATTTTGTTATTGTCTTCTATGTGTATGTGTGTGGACATATGCATGTGTGGACAGGTGTGGTGGAGGCTAGAGGTGTTGGAACTTCTTGGAGCTGGAGGTTGTGAGCCGTCTGATGGGTACTGGGAATAGCAGCAAGTGCTTTTAACTGCTGAGCCTTTTTTTTTTTTTTTTCTTTTTTCCTCTGTTAAAAATTTTGAAGGTACTTCAGGGGAGGTAGAAATGAAGTGAAAAGAATAAGATAAAGATTGCTGGTGTTTTTTGTTTTGTTTGTTTTTGTTATCCCTGTCCCCACACCCTCTCCCTCAGACAAGGTTTTTCTATGTAGCTCTGGTTGTCCTAGAACTCGCTCTATAGATCAGACTGGCCTCATACTCAGAGATCCCCTGCCTCTTCTGGGACTAAAGGCGTGCTGAGATTGCTGTTTTATAATAAGTTCTGAGGATCTTTGGGCAGGGATGTTGCTATACATTGAATTGATTTAATATATTTATATTTTTTATATTATGTATTTATATTATCTATTTAGATAGAATTGATTTCTATGTTAATATTAATATGTGTGTGTATTAATTTGTAATGAAAATAACTAAATTTTGGGCTATATAATAACCTGAGACATATTATATAATTTTTCCTGTTGCTCTTAAGAATTATAAATAGGGTTTATTGGGGATAGTGCAAGGGACAACAGACTGGCCAATAACAAGAGTACTGTAGCCTATACTGTACAAGTAAAAAAAGCTATTGACTTATGTAAATAGTTATTTATTAAATGATTCTAGGTACTAATATTTTGATGAATTATTTTAATGAGTGAACACTATGAAAATGATTCTCAAATTTTCTTTTTCAGATTTTGCTATGGATGTCAGGGGGAATTGAAAGACCAACATGTAAGTTCATTGGCTTTATCAACATTAAGTAATACATAAGAAATATTGAGACAGTGACACCATAATAAGTTTAAGTAGATTGTTGAAGGCTAGGTTTATATCTGGTTGTTCCCTATAAAGACAATAAGGTAGATAGAGGTAAAATGGGAACAATGTAATATAACTTAAATAGTTTTTTTGGCAGGGTGCGGTGGTGTACAGCTGTAATCCCAGCCCTCAGGGAGGCAGAGGCAGGTGGATATCTGTGAGTTTGAGGCCAGCCTGGTCTACAAAGCAAGTCAAGGACAGCCAAGGCTACATGGAGACACCTTATTCCCATCTCCATCCCCCACCAAAGTTTTGTTTTTCTCATTCTTATTTTACTACAGAGAGATTTTAATACTTTCTGTTTACTTTTTCAAGCTAAATTGCATTTAGTTTAGAAATACTAAAAGTATTATAATATTATACTTTAGAATCTTTTATAACTCATTTTGAAATTAGCACAGTGGCTTCATAAGACGGAGCCAGGTGCAGTGGCATGCGCCTAGAATCTCAGCTACTGCGATGTAATGCAAAGAAAATACTTGAACCTAGGATTTCAAAGCCAGTGGGGCAGCTTCGTGAGCTCTTATCTTAAGACAGCAGAGTTTAGAACTGGGCACGGTAGCAGCCTGAGTGCTGAGATCACAGGTCTGGGCTACCATGCCCTGCTTGCTCTCACAAATAAAGCAGTTTTATTAAGGTAGGTACAAGAGCAGGTATGTAATGACCCAGCAGTTAGGAGACTAAGGCAGGAGGATCTTAGGTTCAGGACCAGTCTGGCCAGTGTCCCACCTCTCAAAAATAAGTAAGTAAATAAATAAGTAAATAAAATAAATAGAGAATTTTTAAAATTTCAATTAAATTTTATATTCCTTGGACTGGTGGGGTATGTCAGAGGTAGAGCCCCTACTTAGTATGCATGAAGCCCTGGATTTGAGTCCCTGCACTGAGCAAAACTCTTGCATTTTTCTTTGTCATTAGTAACTTCATCCTCACCGAAACCACTTTAAAAGTCACTTGGGAGTATTAAAATGTATCATTAGTGTGTCTGAGAGTAGAATGTGCATGGGAGAGTCTGAGCACACGAATGCCACAGTGCATGTGTGGAGGTCAGAGAACAGTTTTTGGAAAAGGCTTTTCTCCTTCAACCATTATATAAGTTCTGGGGATCAAACTTAGGTTTGCATGGTAAAGTGCTTCATCTTCTGAGCTCTCTCTCTCTCTTCATTCATCCATCCATCCCTAAATATACAAGCAAAATCTGCTCTGTCTGTATAATGCTATGTATGTATGTTTTTAGATCTGGATAAGTCATTGGGAAGACTAATTCTCTCGGCATTCTGTGGTTGCGTGTAGTTCTGTGTAGTGTTGAGGCCCCATGGGATTTCCCATATCCATGTTAGCGTGTTGTCCTTGTTCAGCTCATGTTTAGGCAGTTACAAAATCAGACATCAGGAGTATAGCTTCCCTAACATTCCTAGGACACAATCTCACAACATACTCTCTGTTTTTCTGACTTTTAAATCTTTCTGCCTCTTCTGTTATAATGATCCCTGAGCCTTAGGTGCTGGAGTTGTATTTTAAATGTATCAGTTGGGACTGGGATCCACAACTCTACATTTCGATTGGTTGTGGTTTTCTATTATGGTCTCCATCTGTTGCAAAGGGAAGTTTCCTTGATGAGAGGTGAGGGCTACACTTTTCTCTGTGTATAAGGACAAACATTTAGAATGTAGTTAGTGTTTTCTCTGGTTTTGTAAAGTCATGGATATAGTTTCTCCTCCAAGATCTATGATTTTACCAGCTCTGGGTAGTTGGCTAGGTTTCTAGTAGCAGGCTTGATTTCCCTCCTGTTGGCTGGACCTTAAGTCCAATTGGAGAGCTGTTGATTACCACTGCAGCATGCATGCCGTGTGTGTGCCCTTGGGGTTGTTGTGCCGTGCTGCCATTGCCGTGGTGTCATAAGGGTAGGACTGTTGGTTGCTCTCCTCCTTTGCAAGCTAGTCCAGGGAGGAAGCTTTCTGGTCATTTCCGGAGGACTAGCTTTCGTGTTACCAGAAGGCTTCATTTGTCAGTTTTAAAGAACGCATCTTTACATGTTTGAAACACAGTGATTTTTGGATCCGTATGTCGCTGCCCTAGAATCTTAGCTCAAAGCACAAGTACCATGTATGTAATGCTGATTAATTTTTTTACTTTTATGTATCTTATGTTTGTCATCTGACACAGTGTTGTATTTGTTGTTTTTTTTCTTTTTCTTTTTTCTTTTTGCTTTTTTGTTTTGTTTTTTAAGATAGGTTCTTGTTGTCTAGGCTGGTCTGGATGACTTTGAATTTGTGATCCTCTTGCCTCCACTAGAATTATAGGTTTGTATTCTTTAAAGGTTTAATAGGGGAATGTAGCTTTTGCAATTGAGAGGTCTTTTTCTAAGAGTTACTCTTTACTCCTAAGGGCCAACTTCAGAGGAATAAACTGTGTTAGGTTTGAGAACATTGTGTTAGATTTAATATATTAGAAGTAATAAGGTATGTAGGTGGGTAGGGAAAATTGGTAAGAGTGTCGAAAGCCAGGCAACCTAACTGTCTTTTGGCCATGCTGTGTGTAACTTCTGTGAACCATTTTTGCTTACTTACCTTTCTCCTTTCCATTGCAGGTCTATGTCTGCACAGTGTGCCGAAATGTTTTCTGTGTGGACTGTGATGTTTTTGTTCATGACTCTCTCCACTGTTGCCCTGGCTGTATTCATAAGGTCCCATCTCCTTCAGGTATTTGATTTCAACATGTGGGACACACATTGAGTGGGTTAAAAAAATCCAAAACTTGTAACTGTAAATAAAATGATGCTTTAAATAAACTCTCTAAAACATGAAAGAACTTTGAAGGAAGAATCTAATTTAAGAAACTTATGAAAATAGAGTATTTTTATTTGTGTCCTATCACGGATATAATATGTAATTTTGTTTTCTATTTTGAGTCATTTTCAGTCTAATTCATTATTATAAATAATTACTTATAATGACTACATTGATATCAAAATCTCAATTTTTTTGGTTTTAGATTTTTATTTACATGCATGCGTGTGTGTGTGTGTGTGTGTGTGTGTGTGTGTGTGTGTGTTCACCCTAAGTTCAGGTATCCACAGGAGTCAGAAGAGGGCATCAGATTTCTTGGACCTGGAGCTAAAAGGCAGTTCTAAACTGCCATGTGTGGGTGCTGGGAACTGAACCCAGGTCCTGTGTAAGAGCAGTAAGTACTCTTAATCACTAACCGTCTTTCCAGCTCCAAAATATGCTCTTTAAGGAAAAAAAAAAGTACATATATACACACACACACTTGCATGCACGTACACACACACATACACACACACACACACACACTAAAGTGACTAGAGTTCAATGTACTAAAATAATAGATGTTTATCTCAGGATTCATGTTCACTGAGTCTAGATTTAGTGTTTTTTTTTTTAATTAATTTTTTATTATAAAAAAGCACTTCAAAAAAAAAAAAAAAAAAAAAAAGGAATCTCATACCCAAGTTAACCAGAGCCAAAGATTCTACAAGTCAGTGAACTTCTTTACAAATTGAGTAGCTAGTTGGAACAGAAGCTATAAAGCTATAAAGCCCCACTTAGACTTTATATTTAACTATTAAATGTCTTTTTGTGTGCTTATCCACTACCCAAATTGAAAAGTCCATGACAGAGAACTAGAAAGGCAGTTAATTAGCTTTGTGTCCTCTCACACCTTGATCTATTCCGCCTTTCAGCCCTTCCTCACCCTCTGGTACTTAGGTTCTTGTGCTCTTTTTTGCATGTTACACTGTCCCTACTGCACATTTTTTTATAAGTATGCATATATTACTGGCTAGATTCTGCATCCTTTTGCCGAATCTAGAAGAACATGCATCGTTTTCTTTCTGAGATTGTGTGACCTCACTTCATATTATACATTCTAAGTCCATCCATTTTTCTGCAAAGGTTGTAATCACTCTTTGTTGTTTCCTTTTTTTTGAGACAGGTTTTCTCTGTGTAGTCATGGCTGTCCTAGAACTCACTGTGCAGACTAGACTGGCCTCAAACCCATAGATCCGCCTGCCTCTGCCTCCTGAGTGCTGGGATTAAAGTCATATGCCACCTCTGCCCATTGCCATCACATTTTTCTTTAGAGCTAAATAATAGTCCATTGTATGTAGATCACATTTTCATCCATATGTTGATGGACAGTGGGGTTGATTCTAATTCTTTGCCCTAGTGAATGAAGCAAATATGGGGGTGCAAATATCTCTATGTTAAGGTATTAAGTTCTCTGAGTATATCTAAGTAAAATAATGGAATTACATTTTTTTTTGAGACAGGGTTTCTTTGTGTAACAGTCCTAGCTGTACTGGAACTCACTCACTTTGTAGATCAGGTTGTCCTCAACTTCCCAGAGATCTGCCTACCTTTGCCTCCTGAATGCTAGGACTAAAGGTATGTGCCACCATGCCAGGCTTCTATTTTTCAGTTTTGAGGACTGTGCAAACTTATTTCCATAGTGGCTGTATGAATTTGCATGCTTGCCAGCAGTTGACTAAGGGTTCTTTTCTCTTAACACCCTTTTAAGCATTTACTGTCAGCTTTATTGATGATAGCCCTACTGGGTTAGGTGTACCTTGGAATAGTTTTAATTTACGTTTTCCTGATGGTAAGGGATATTGAAAACTTTGTAATAAAAATAATTAAATGGTTGTTGTTGGGCATTCAACACAGAAGACTGCTCAGACATGGGCTTAAGGTAATAGAAACTCTTTATTAGCCAGCTGTGTACAAGTGGGTGTTCGGGATCTCAGTGCAGCTCAGCGCCTTTCTCAGGGTGAGCTCTTAATCACAAAAACCATGTTGTGGGTTGCTATACTTCAGTTAACAAGAACAGTTAGCCAGAAGCAGAACTACAGAAGCTAAAGAGTTAGTACATTTTGAGACTCTCCCAGTACTATTTGGACTCTGATGGACTAGATCTTTGTTTTAGTTTGGGCAGATGGTGCTTTCTGTGTGCTGAGTTTCATGGCCTGAATAGCACTTCCATCATGGAGTCAGTTGTGCTAAGGTCTTAGGACCTACAAGGTCTGCAGCCCTGTTACAATGGCCACTTTGTTTTTGTTTTTGTTTTAAACTGTCTTTTCAGTTTCTTTGCCTTTGTGTTGACTGGGTGCTCTTTTCTGCAATTATTTATAAAGTTGTGAAATTTGCCCCTTGTATGAAGTGTAGCCGGTAATTTTCCCATCCTGTGGGCTGTCATTTTGCTCAACTGATTGTTTTCATTGCTGTACAGAGGTTCTTTGTGTGGAACCAGTTTCAATTACAGGTAACCTGCTAACTGCTGTCTTTTTTTTTTTTTTTTGGCAACAGAGACATTAGTAACTTGTAAGACCTGCTCTAGCACTGTCCAGTACTCTTTATCTCCTGCCATGCTTGGAAGAAAGGCCTTGAAAAGTCACCAGAGCCTGGCTGTGGTGACCCACACACAGCACATGGGAGGCAGAGGCAGGTGGATCTCTGTGAGTTTCAGGACAGCCTGGTCTACAGAGTGAGTTCCAAGACAGTCAGACACAGATAAACCTTATCTCAAGAAACCAAAACCAAAAAAAAACGAAAGAAAAAAATTCAAAAGAATATATAAGACTGTGGTAACTAATTATTTTATCTATCTATCTATCTATCTATCTATCTATCTATCTATCTATCTATCTAACATTCTTTCCTCAGTTTCCCCTCCTCCTCTTCTACTAGTCTTTCCCCTGACCTCTCTCCCCACCTCCCCATCCACTAACTCCTCTGTTTCTATTCAGAAAAGGGCAATCCTCCCCTGGATGTCAACCAAATATATTATGTCAAGTTGCAGTAAGACTAGGCACTTCCAATTGTCACCTTACTAAAACCTAGAATCATTTCAGAAGGGAGTCTCAGTTGAGGAATTCTAGTTCAGGTTGCCCTGTGATCTCATGTGTATGTGGAATGATCTTGTTAATTGATATAGGAAGACTTAGCCCATTGTGGGTGAACCATTTTTGGGGCAAGGAGTTCTAAATAATAAAGCTAGAAGAGCATAGCAGCAAGCAAGCAGGCAGCTCAGTGCATTGCCGTGACCAGCTGTCTCAGCCTCTGTCTTGTGACTTCCTTACTGTTACAGACTGTAACCTGGAATTTTAGTCAAATCCTTTCCTCTTCTATGTTGCTTCCTGTAGGAACATCGCATCACAGCAACAGAAGTGAAATCAGAACCAAGATTTAAACTCATTATCTGATAGAAGGGATAGCTCCAGTTTTGGATTTCATTTCCATGTTTAATAAGATTAAGATGAATATTGTGGTTCTGTTTAAAAAGGAATATGCTTTTTCACAATCATTGATTAATTTGATATACTTTTATTAAATATGTACTTTTGGGGGTAGGAGCCAAGTACTAGGGACCAGAGCCTTATTCATGTGAAAAGTATATATTCCCCTCTCTGGAACTGTGGTTTAAACACAGCTCCCAGCATGCTAGACAAGCACTCTATCCTGAGTTACCACTAACCCCTTCATTTCTTGTAATTAAGTCTGACCATTTTTATCTTTTAATCAAGGCACTTAGTCCATTTACACTTAATGTGTAGATTAAATTAATATGTAGTACAATACTTAGTACCCTTATATTTGTGTGTGTGTAGCCACTGATACTCTGGGGATCAAAATATACCATCTTTGTGCTGTTGATTTAAACCATTGCATCTTCTAAATTGGTTTTTAACCTTTCTGAATTTTTCCCGACTAGTTAGAAACTTAGACTGTTTTTATTCTTTTAGTGAAATTTCTACACTTGAGTTCCCTAGAAATGAGCATAAGGAAAATATGAAAGTATCGTTACTTCACTTGAGAGGCACCAGTCAGGGGAGCAATGGTGAGGGAAAGGGAACATGCTAGGGGAGCAGCATGTGATGCAGTATGTTAGCACAGTGGCCAGGCTTCTTGACAAGCGGAGTAGATGCAGGCACCTCCCAGCAAGTGTGCCCACGAGGAGCATGCAGTTACCAAGAGGGCCACAATGAAACACCTCTGAGCGGTCCACAGGAGGGAGAGAAAAAGTATTCACCTATGTATTTATTTACAGTGTGTGTGTGGAGACAGGGTGGGGAGATACAAGCTTGCTTTTCCTTGCATGTTGGAGGTCAGAAAACAACAGCCATCAGTTTTCAATCTCCACCATGTAGTCCAGGGGTCCTCTCTCATTCTCTTAGCAGAAGTCCAGCATGCTGGGGTCGTCACCTTTACAACATGGTAGCAACCCTTGAGGGAAGCTCACAGGCACCTTTTAAGGCCAGAAAGGGGAATTTCTGCTGTGGATATGTGACCTGGATTGGGATTGGCTGGTGCCCGTGGATGCTGGTCAGGACTTAGGTGCTTTTCAAACCAGTAATTAAGCAACCTTATCTCCCCCAGGCCAGATGTCTTGGCTGTTTCTGTTTGGTTACCTTTTTTCTGTGTGTGTGTGTGTGTGTGTGTGTGTGTGTGTGTGTGTGTGTGTGTTTATTTATTTCCCTGCAACTCTTTGGCCTGTCTAGCAAGGAATTGAAGCCTGTCAAAGAGTTGGTCAGACTTACTAAGTTTTCTCAATGGAATTCAGGTTGTCAGGTTTGGCAACAGCCTGCTTTCCCTGCGCCATCCCCTTTGGCCTGACTTGCACTGACCTTCCTACTTTCACCTCCCAAGTGCTGGGATTAGAAGTGTGAGCCACCACAGCTAGTTTTATGTGATTCTGGGAATGAAACTCAGGGTGTGTACTTGTGAAGAAAGCACTCTACCTACTGGATTACATGCCCAGTTCTCATTTT